GAACACAAACAGAAGCTACCTTTTAGGGAACAAAGACTGAACCAGGCCTGCTGCAATCATTAACATCATTGACTCTGGACCCTGAACTTGGGAGATACAGTTCATTTCACCCTGTTTTACAGACGCAGAGACTGAGGCTCAGAGACAGGGAAATGACTTCCCAAGAATGCTCAGCTGGCAACTGGGGAAGCAAGATTCTACCCAGGTTTTGTCATTTGAAAACCTAAGACTCCTTCTTTCCCAGCATGCTTTTATTCATGCCGCTTGGCTAAGCAGAGAAGGAATGCCAGACACTCTTGATGGAGGAGATATATTACAGGAACACCTTGGAAACATAAATTGCCAAGGGAAAAGCAGTATTTAAATTTTTTTTTCAACTCCTCACATTTGGAGATTCATTCACATATTTTATTTACTACAGCCTTCCATGTTCCCCTCAGATGAAATGTCTCTCTTTCTATTCTACTCCAAGAAAGTATTCTTGCCCAAGTAAGTGCTCTTTATGTGGCCTTTATAAAAGCCTGCAACTTACAAGCCACTTTTCAGGCATCACTGTGTAATCCTTGAGACTGCCACACACTGTACAGTTATCCCCATTTTCTTGGTGCAGAAACTGAAATTCAGCAATGAGATGTGGTATGTTCAAGTTCACTCATTTACTCACATATTTAAAAGTGCCTTTCATGTTCCTAGTGCTGTGTTCAGTGCCAGGATGTAACTGTACCCAAGCTGCAGGCCAGGGTTTGGTGTCTGCCTCTGCCACTTTCTAGATGTCGTGTGTATAGTAAGTGCTTATGCCATGGTACCAAATGCTATCCTTACCTCTCTCCGTTGCCCCTTGCTTATTCTCACATCCTCGAGTTTCACTATGATCTTGGTCCCAGCCCTTCTGCAAGGCTCCTTAGTCAGAACTCACCTTGTTAAGCACTTGTATTTCACATTCATCCATGTTGTCCTAGGAAGTGGAGAGCAGCCTCCCCACTGCAGACACCTGATGCACAGAGGGGTGACCTAAGCACAGAGGGTAAGTGACTAGTCCACCATCACAAGTCAAGGGAATAGAATGGAAAATGAACCCACGCCTGGCCATCTCCAAGACCAGACTTCCTCCTCTCTTACCTTCTGCTTCCCTTGACTGAGACAATAACTGGATATAGTAAGGGCTAGAACAGAGCTCTGCTCACAGGGCTGAGATGTAACAGGTGGAGAGAGATGATGCCCACATCACAGTGGTGTTGTTTTCACGACAAATGCTGAAGCCAAAAGACCCAGAAAGCAGATGGATAGTTGGGCTTTTGTCTGAAGATGGGGGCCAGATATCCCATATTTAGGTCTCTAAAGTCACATATATGAAGTTTAGACCCACACTTGTTAGCACTCCAAGCTAGCTGATGAAAGATAAAAGGTGAAATTAGATTTGACAAGATAGTATGACTCATTTGAAAACACCCTGATGTTGGGAAAGATTGAAGGCAGAAGGAGAAGGGGACGACAGAGGATGAGATGGTTGGATGGCACCACCGACTCAATGGACATGAGTTCAGGTGAACTCCAGGAGTTGGTGATCGACAGGGAGGCCTGGCGTGCTGCAGTTCGTGGGGTCGCAAAGAGTCAGACACTACTGAGCGACTGAACTGAACTAAAGAACATCATCTTTGAATTCAGACAGGCCTCACTGCTGCTTAGTTAATATGTAAAAATAAATCAATTACTTGACCTCTTTGAGACCAGCATCCTTACCGATAAAATGCAGATACTCCCACCCGAGTGATATATTTCAAAGATTAACTAGAATACGCATGTAGAGGATAAGCACTGGTGAGCACTCGCTAGACAGCAGCCATGCCTCACATGACATTCAGGCACTGAACGAGGTTTCCTGCGCGTGGACCAGCAATTCTGCAAGGAGGAACTGGTTTCCTTTGTTTTACATTTGAGACAAAGGCTCAGAGAGGGTAATAAACTAGACCAAGGTCACACATCTAGTGAACCTCAGAGCCGAGGTTTGAATAGATGGTGACTGGGCTGCAAGGCTGCTTCTGGGCTCTGGGTGATCTGTCCCCTGCTGGACCCCTCACCTCAGTCGCCATGGCAGCAGCCTGGTAGGATAGGTTAGCGCTGACATTCCTCCAGGGCTAGGAGGTGTCTCCGTGGGTCTGTCATGGGCCTAGTGGCAGTGACTCATAGCAGCAAAGGATGTGGAGCATATACAGTTCTGAGCCTTGCTGTCAGCTCCACTCATGGCATCTTAAACACAAACCAGCATGACGGATTGATGAATCCCCACGTGCACCAAAAACGTCAGCTTCCCAGAAAACTCAGGATGATGTTATTGTACTATCTGAATTACAGGGAAACTCAGAATCAATATCAAGGAATAAATTAGACACACATTCTTGGGATGGCATGAGTAACTTTCACTGCTCTTCAAAAGAGAAAATGTGGTATTGTTAAGAAGGAGGTTTAACACACAAAAGACAAGCAGTCTTTTCTCCAGAAAGATACTGGCTTCTGCTTACTGTGCCCCTTGTACCAAGAAGTTCTGATGTATTGTGCCTTTTATAAAAACCACCTTTGGGTTATCAAGTCATGAGGTGTTAAAGCTGAGAGGGGCTGTGATATTCCCAAGTCCTGACTGTCTGAGCCCGTCGTGTGGATCTGCAGCCGCAAAGCAGAGCTGAGAGCACAGCGTGTGCAGGTTTCAGAGTGAGACAAACCAGGGTACAGGTCTTGGTTCTTTCATTGTCTGACTCTGCTTTTGGACAAATTGCCTAACTTTTTCATCTTCAGTTTCCTCTTCTGAAAGATGAAGATAATGTGGCTGATTATTTTCTCAGGTTTTCATAAGATTAGAAAAACATGCGAAATGGCACCATTTCAACATAGTTGGAATTTGGCAAGTGTACCTAATGGAGTTGTATTTGTACAGAGGTGACATCCACAGACCTTTAGCAGAAGACAGTAGCTGATAATGGATCAACGCGTGGGCTTTGGAGTCAGACATACCTCGACTTAATTTCCAGTCCCAGTAATTACTATATGGTTCTGGGCAAGTTGCTTTCTCTCTCTGAACCTCATGTATAACATAAAGAAAATAATAGTAACTATCTTTTAGTATCATCTGGGGGAATTAGTTGCAACAATACAGATGAAACTGCATAGGTCAGTGTTTGCCACATGTTAAGAACTTTACACATAGCTTATCTGGAGAACCAACTCATGTATATTAACTACCTAATATGCGCAGTCGATCAGGGTTCACCATCCTGTAACTTGGCGATTGTAGTGTTCCGTCCATTGGTGGCGCTAGAGTCCTCCTGCCAATGCAGGAGACTGAAAAGATGCAGGTTCCGTCCCTGGGTCAGGAGGATGCCCTGGAGGAGGGCATGGCACCCCGCTCCAGTATTCTTGCCTGGAGAATCCCATGGACAGAGGAGCCTGGTGGGCTACAGTCCGTGGGGTTGCAGAGTCAGACACGACTGAAGCAACTTAGCACACACATAGCATGAGGTAAGTTGAGGTTTTGGAGAAGGAGGAAAGGAAATCAGACCCCTGGGACTGTAGTTTCTTGTGCTTGACCCAGGGAGCCCCTGTTCCCACTCCACACTCCTGCTCCTACCCGTGAAGGCTGGTGAAGGAGGGTGGCACAGCAAAGATAGGGCACTCAGACACTTAGCCCTTCTCACTTCTGTTCAGATTGTCACTGGCCTCCGAGGATGATCTCTTCTTGAAAGTTTATTCACTCTTTTGGCTTTATTTAATTTCAGAACTTGGAGATCTGGAGGTGTGAAGCGTCAGAGAGCCTTCCCAGAGTAGGCCAGAGGCCAATGTCTCCTCTGGAAAGAATCCCGTGTCCTGGAGTGGACCCGACTCCACTATGTCTGTGGTTTACCAGTTCTCTCCCTCTAATACCACACAGACTGCCTGTCCCACCTTCCTGGTACATCATGGAGCTGCAGGTGCCAGCACTGAAAGTTGAGGACATGCCTTGTACCTGGACTAACTCCCAGACTTCCTGTCACGGCCCACTGGGTCCCCATCATCTCTCTTTGCTACAGCCACACCAGCTCTCTATTCCTTCAACAGTCTGGATCATTCTCTCCTCAAGAACTTTGCACTTGCTGGTCTTTCTGCTTGGAATACTCTTTCCCCCAGATCTTCCTCCCATAAACTAGTTCCTTCTCATTTCCAGGTCCCAGTTCAAACCTCTCAACAAGAAGGCCTTTCAGGACACACCTGTATAAAGCACCCACACCCCTCTTCACTTCAGGCTTTACTGCATGATTCTGTCATGTTCTTTCTCATATGCACCATTGTCTAATTTTTCACTTTTGTTTAGCTTTATGCAAGCAGGGACCTTGACTCTCTTGCTCATCTTTGTAATCTTAGCTCCGAAAGTAATTCCTGGCATGTAGTTAATGCTCAGCTAGTGTTTGTTAAATGAATGAATGAAAGAATATCTGAATGAGTATACAGAGTGATAGCAGATAGCATCAGGGTTTACTTCCAAGTCATGCCTGGACTTGACTCAGACTGCTCTGCCCCCTAATAAGTGTGAGACCACTCAGAAATACACAAATAAGTCTGTTTTCTCATTGGTGAAATACAAGTGATAATGACCCCTGCCTTCTAGCGTTGCTGCTTGTAAATGAAGAAAGAAAGAAAGTAAAGTCACTCAATTGTGTCTGACTCTTTGTGACCCCATGGACTGTAGCCTACCAGGCTCCTCCATCCACGGGATTTTCCAGGCAAGAATACTGGAGTGGGTTGCCATTTCCTTCTCCAGTAAATGAAGAGACTGAGTGCCAAATGCCCAGCAATCAGTTGGTTTTTGATACACACTTAGTGACTATCTTTTTTTTTCTTCTGCAGCCTGATCATCCCTGAGTTCTTTCCGCTGTCACTCCCGTGCTATGATTTTGGGTTCCTCCTTGCAGCTTCCAGGGCCTTTTGCTCTGAAGTCACAGCCCTGTGCTTGGTTTCTTGTTGTGGTGTTGCAGGTTCACTCTTTACGCGGTGGATACACGAGGGAGGCACTCCGAGCTCAGCACGGTGACCCTGAGGACCGCCTGTCCCCTGGTGGATGACAACAAGGCCGAAGGTAGGTGACCCCCCTACCCCCGCTTCTTCACTTTCAGGGTCCTTCCTATATTTTCAGTCTGTAAACTCTGCACGCCCCAGTCACTGTCCACCACTCCTTTTCCGCCTCACACACACACAGGGAGAGGAAAGTCAAAGGACTGGAGGAAGAACATGGAGCTAAATGAATCAAAGCCAGGAAGGAACTTGAGATTGGCTGGCAATATCTTTGCCAGTGGACAGACTTGCTCCTCTTTTATAGAATATGTGTTTTGGCTTTGAGGAAAGGAATGGTGGAGAGTCAGAACTGTATGACTGGTTCTACCTCTTGGCCTAGGCTTTTAGAAACCGATCGCTTCCACGTCAGTGTGCCCTCGAGCTGGCAAATGCGTGGCACGTGGGGGACCACTAGACTTTGCTGTACCTCTGGCAGACTGATTAGCTGATCACAGCACACCTTCCCATCTGGCCCAGGGGTGGCCTCTCTGGCAGACATCATTAGCTGATCACAGCACACCTTCCCATCTGGCCCAGGGGTGGCCTCAGAATTCTCAGCAAAGAGCTGCAGTCAGTAGCTATCCGTCAGAATCAGCATGCATGTTCCTGGTCCATGAAATTGTAAACATTAGACAAAACACATAAAAAAAAAAGAGAACCAATAACTCAGATCTACCATGTACTTAGTTCTTAGACCACATGTAGATACAATTTCAACAAAGTTGTCATGGTAGCTCATGAATTCTGCTGGTGCTTCAGTTCAAGGTGAGCAAATATTTTCTAAGAGCCCTAGTACAAGCAATGTAGAACAGACATGCTCTCCATCTTTCAGGAGTTTCCATTCTAGCGGGGCAGAGAAAGACATTTCTTCAGATGATCAGGCTACGTACTAGATAAGAGGAGACACTGAGATACTGAGTCTTATTAAAAGGGAGGGGATTTGAGATGGATTCCCGGTAATTTTTTTGTTATTATTTTTATTTTAAAAGGACACATGAACATGGTTTAAAAAAAAAGTCAGAGTAGAAAACCCTAGAAAGTAAATGTTCCTCCCATTCTGAACCCAAGTCCCTCAAAGTCTCCTGAAGGCAATCGTTAAGCAGTGACATGGGGCATACATAAATTTTGTTCAAAGTCTTAAAAGATAAAAGAATGTGCCTTCTATTCAGGAGAGCAGCCCATAATGAATTTTAGTTACATCAGTTAGCAGGAATAACTGAAAGAGTAGCAATTGCCATGAATGGCAAGCAGAAGAGTCTAGATTTTTCTTTGAAAGATTTTTGGATGAAGAGTTGTTAGACCTGGTTACAGAAATATGTTGGAACTATTACAGAGAGGAGCTAGAAGTAGACCATTGAGATGAGCTCAAGACACTTACTAGAAGCCTCTGCACTTGTTTGAAATTTTCTGTTAAATCATAGGCACACACCTTATGTTAACCAGTGCAATTATAAGCACTAACTTTGTTCCAGACCCCCTGTCAAGTGCTTCGTATCCGCCTTTTAATTTAGTCCTCCCATGCTCCTCCAGTGTGTGGATTATTATCTCCAACTGATAGATAAGCAAATGGAATACAACTGGTCAATGCCATATTCAGAATGGAATTAAGGTTCATTTGCCCCAAAAGACCACACAGGTGAACTCCTGCTTGAAAACGCCTTCCTAGTCGTAAGGTATGCCTCCATCCTCCCTATTTCCTACCGTCTGGTGATCTGATACTTCCTCCTCCCCCCAGAGATAGCCGACAAGATCTACAATCTGTACAATGGGTATACAAGCGGCAAGGAGCAGCAGACTGCCTACAACACGCTGATGGAAGTCTCGGCCTCCATGCTGTTTCGAGTCCAGCACCACTACAACTCTCACTATGAGAAGTTCGGCGATTTTGTCTGGAGGAGCGAGGATGAGCTGGGGCCCAGGTACGTGGGTGCGTGAGTGTGAGGGCAGCAGTTAATTCTCCCTGCTCCCATTTGACTTTATTGGAGCCTTTTCTCCATAGGCTGATGATGGGCTTTGTGAAATAAATAAGGGTGGCAGTCACCCAAGTCATGTCAGGACTCAAGGTGGGAAGCGGGTGGGGAGAATGAAAGAATCTTGGAATTTTAGCTTCTTGGACTTCTGGAATCTCAGATAAGAGAGAGACTTCAGTGCTCTTTCAGTCAGCCCCCTTACCTTCCACTTTCAGTTTTATAAATGGGAAACATAGCTTCCTTGAGGAGATATGTCCTAACCAACATCATAGAAGAGCAGGTGGCAGTGTCATGGACCCTAATCTAGGACTTTTCCTTCTCTTTCATAAGAAATCCGAGTCATCTTTTTTTTTTTTTTTAGAATAAATTTCATTAGTGACCATGACTAAATGCATCCATAAATTCAACATGTATTAAGGTGTGATTTTTTTTTTTTTTTTTTGTCACCAGCAGTGACTATGCCAGCCACAGTGGTAGGTGCTATAGAGGAATCGCCCATAACTGACACACAGTCACTATCTTCTGAAGCTTCCTGAAGTAGTGTCTACAGTGGGGGGCTGTGTCTCATGTCCTGCACCCAACAGGGATGTCCATTCATTTATTCAACACAGACTTAACAGCCCCCTTTTTAGGTTGATCATGTACTGTTAAAAAGGCAGAAGCGGCCCCTACCTATGTGTAGCTCACTGTTCCACATAATTAAGCAGTTGCAAAGAATAGGAAAAACAAATACCGTATATTAACACATATATATGGAATCTAGACAAATAGTACTGATGACCCTATTTGCAGGGAAGGAATGGAGATGCAGACATAGAGAAAAGACCTGTGTACACAGCTGGGTAAGGAGAGGATGGGACACATTGAAAAAGGAGCACTGACATATATACGCTATCATGCGTAAAATAGATAGCTGCTGCATAACACAGGGAGTCCAGCCTCGCGCTCTGTGACAACCTAGAGGGGTCGAATGGGAAGCAGGGGGAAGAGACTCAAGAAGGAGAGGAGATATATATATGTGTATATACACACACACATATATATATGTATGTATAATTATGACTGATTTGTGTTGCTCTATGGCGGAAACCAATGCAACATTGTAAAGCAATTTTCGTCCAATTAAAAAGAATAGAATAGGAATAATAAGGGTCAAAAGGACAGAGAGGGGCCCTCTGGGGAGGCGAGGCATAGACACCCAGCCTGGGTGGCCCAGTGAAGGCCCTCCAAGAGCTGAGACTGTGAGGCCTACAGGGTAAGCTGGGGTCAGGCACATGGAAGAAGACGGTGACCGGAGGGTCTGGGGCCTAAGGAGCAGCCTGTGAGATGTTCGGAGGGATACTACTGCATAGAGCAGCATTAAACCTCGTCAATTCTGCATTTGTCGTTTGCCTCCACCTTTACGATCTTTCTGGGCTTCCCTACTGGCTCAGGTGGTCAAGAATCTGCCCGCCATGCGGGAGACCCGGGCTCGCCACCCGGGTTTGGGGAAGATCCCCTGGAGAAGGGATGGCAGCCCATCCCAGTATTCTTTCCTGGAGAATTCCGTGGAGAAGCCTGGCAGGCTGCAGTCCAAAGGGTCGCCAAGAGTCGGACATGACTGAGCGACTGACACTTTCACTTTATGATTTTTACCGTAGCTCCATACTATCTGCACTTTATTTTCTATTTTGTCCTTAGGCCCACGTATTAGCAAGTATATTTGAAAAGGAAGCACTGTATCACTGTGTAAAGCGAAGCTGAGCACTGTCTCCGCTTAATAAAAACTAAACTTAAGCCTTCAGTTCAATGGAAGAAAAACAAAATGCCAGAAAACAATGCCGCTTAAGCCTCTCAGAGCCTGAGGCTTTCCTTCTAAAAGGGAAGATTAGTGAGTGTTTAAGAAGTACTTTAAAACACAGTCTGGAATTAAACCTTTCCTTCTGAAAGTAATCTGGAGGAGGGCACCGGATTGAAAAAGGGAATCTAAATGCTTTTCCCCGTTGTGATTCATTGTTGTTTGATGCTGGACCTGTGATCTTCCTGAGTACCACCTAAAATCCTTTCTCCTGCCCCAGGGGAACCCCTTCCACACTTTGGTAAACACTGTGTGTGGAGGAACTGAAAGAATTTCTGTGCAAAGTGTGTGACAGCAGGAGTGGGAAGAGATAAGACAGGGGAGGTTAGCAGAGGCCAGTTCCGAATGCCCTTTAAGTAGGGTTAAAGAGTTTGGATTATCTCTCTAGGGTAATGGGAAGCTTTTCAAGTGTTTTTCACAGGGGGAGATGTTATCAGATCTTCAAGGGAAAAGGATCCCTCTGACAGCCGCTGGCAGCCTGGACTAGAGGAATCCTGAGCAGAGGGAGGCAGGGAGACCCCAGAGGCAGTTGTGATACTAAATCCAGGAGACAGTGCCGTGTTCCAGGCCAGGGTCGTGTCAGTGGTGCTGGAGAGAATTGCATGGCTTCCTGAAACACTTAGTGGGCAGCGTGTTATGCTTTAAAATTACCCTGTAAAACAGACAAAATAGGGCATCCTCCCCATTTTATGAATGGAAAGGAAGTGGAGGCCCCCACGGGTTAAGTGAGCTGCACGGAGGCACAGAGTTTGCTGTGCGGTCTGCTGCCGCCCTGAGCCTTCACCCTGAGCCCCTGCATCACGCGCGGCGACCTTCGAAGAATTCAAGGCTTGGTGGAGGGATGAAAGGGGCCTTTCCCTGGGGCAGACCTTATCTGTTCTGTTGGATCCTGGGTTTGTAACCGTCTCCCTCTCCTTCAGATAAAAGTGAAAGGAGAGCAGACAGACTGGAGCACAGGGCCTCAGATGAAAGCTTCGGCGTGAGTCATCTCGGCTGCCACCTTGCCCAGGCACGGGGAAAGGCGTTCTGCCTTTACTGGGCTTTCCCACAGGCTTCAGGGAATTTGGGTGGAAGCTAATCCAGAGCTTCACTCAAGACTTTGTCTTTATCATCTTCTGGGATCCTTTAAGACCCTCCAGGACATCAGTCTTCTAGGAGGCCTTTCTGGTCAGTCAAAGAGGCAGAACAACCCACTCCGTAATAGACAGTGATAACCCGCTCACCTCCAGCCAGCTGGTCACCAGCCACTGGCTTCCAGCCCCCGACCTATGCACCCAGCCTCCTCCTCCTCTGGTCTTTCTAGTCTCTGGAGGGAATCCGAGGTTTTTCTGATGCCCTACACTGGCATGAGCAGGAATCAAGACAGCTGCATCCTGATCCATCCTGGCACTGCTGATAAACTCACCGTGCAGCCTTGGGCTCTGGGCCTCTCTGGGCCTGAGTCTCTTCATCTGTAAAAGGACAGTAGTCCTTTCTTTCTTTTTGTTCTTTTTTAAGCAATGAAAAATCTGTTTTCTAAATAAAGCTTACAAAGAGCCCCAGCTCTTAGCTAGAATGCTACCTCCTCAGGGAATCCTCTAAAAGTTCTGCTCTATCGCAGCCTCGGGTGTTAATTCTCTGTGTTGTAGCTACTGGTTTTAGTATCTTATATTGGTTATGTATTTTGTGGTGGTGGCGGTTTAGTCACTTAGCTGTGTCCGACTCTTGTGACCCTGTGGACTATAGCCTGTCAGGTTCCTCTATGCATGGATTCTCCAGGCAAGAATACTGGAGTGGGTTGCCTTCTCCTCCTCCAGGGGATCTTCCTGAGCCAGGGATCGAACCCTCATCTCCTGCATCTCCTGCATTGCAGGCAGATTCTTTACCACAGAGGCATCAAGGAAGCCCCACGGGTGAGAGAGGGCAGGTAAGAGAACATACTTCAGTCAGGAAGGACAAATCTCAGGGCAGTGGAGAGTTCAGGGTGAGGAGGAGAAGGGAAGACCGAAGCAGAAGTCATATCATAATGGCTCTTTATGAGCCCTGTTCATGAGTCATTTTTCTTCCAAAAGCTGGGTCAGTGTTCTAAACAGAGGATCCAAGTGGGTAGATGTACCATGCCTCTCAAAGGCTGGAAGTCTGCAGAACATCCACGTGTAAAAGAGAAAGAATACGGCCCGGCCTTGGGTTTCTGTTGTAGCTTCATCACCCGCTTGCTGTGCAACCTCGGACAAGTTGCCTCTCCCTCTGAGCCTCATTTGCAACATAAAAGGGCTGGATTCCAAGGTCCTTTCCAGCTGCAAAGACAGGGAACCAGCCAGCCCTGAAGGTCATGGAAACCAGAGAAGAGACGCAGCAGACGTGTCCTTTCACCTCTAGCCCAGCATGGCAGGTTCCTCAGGAACCTAGGATGGCTAGGACAGTAAGAGTTTTTCCCAGGAGCACCCTAGTATCATGAGATGAGCTCTGTTAGGATTCCGCTGGCCTCTAACCACCGAGCCCCCAAGTGTTCTCTGCATCTCCATGGATCTTTGGTCGGGTACCCCCATAAAGTTTAGTGACAAAAGGGTGACTCTTCCTGCTACGTAAATCCATCAGGCCAATGTCCTCTGGAGCTTGGTTCCCATGGCAACCACAGGTTCCTGCAAACAACTGCTCAGAGAAGACCTGCTGACACCCAGCTGTCCCAGCCATACGGTTCCTATTAGAAGACCTGAAAACCTTTACTTACAGGTGGTCAGGGATCAGAATTTGCTCCAGCCAAATACCCTTGACCTCTCCTGAGCTTCTCAATCCTCTCAGGTATGTCTAATGAGGAGGGAGAAGAGAGTCAGCACTTGAAGAGATTTTGTTGCAGTGAAATTGAGTAAATGAGTGAATAGAGTAAATGTATGTCTAGATAGTTCTGTTTTTCTTTATATCATATAATGCTTTATTTACATTTTACAAATCACTTTTACATTAATTAAGTTGAAAATATTTGCTGCATTTTTTTAAGATATCTTTATTTTCTTTTTTTTTTTTTTTGACTCAGTTATATATGTGTATATATTCTTTTAGTTAGAGGATAATTGCTTTACAATGTTGTATTGATTTCTGCCATACAGAGATTTCTGCCGTGTGACTCAGTCAT